TGCTTTCTTCATGTATGATGTTCCTGATGTCATCTGACAACTCTGGTCTTCAGTCTTTAGTGTTTAATATTTCAAATCTGTTCTTGATATGATCTCTAAATTCAGGTGGGATATATTCAAGGTCATATTTTGGCTCTTGTGGACTTGTTTTCATTTTCTTTATCTTCAGTTTGAATTTGCATATGAGTAATTAATGGTATATTCCACAATCTACCACTGGCCTTGTTTTGACTGATTATATAGAGCTTTTCCATTGTTTCTTTCCACAGATGTAGTCAATTTGATTTCTGTGTATTCCATCTGGTGAGGTCTATGTGTATAGTCATATCTTAGGCTGTCTAAAAAAGGTATTTGAAATGAACAAATCATTGGTTTTGCAGAATTCTATCATGCGATCTCTAGCATCATTTTCCAACTACTGATCCTTCCTCTTTGTTCCCAACCTTTGCATTCCAATCACCAGTAAAGATCAATACATCTTGATTGAATATTTAATCAGTTTCAGATAGAAGAAGTTGATAGAATTCTCTATTTCAGACTCACTGGCTTTAGTGGTTGGTGTGTAAATTTGAATAATAGTAGTATTAACTGGTCTTCCATTGAAGGAATGCATTGAAGGAATTGGCAAAGAATAAGGACCCAGGAATTGATGGAATAAAAATTGAAATCTTTAAAAAAGTGAGGTGGCACTGGAGGCACTCACTTATCTATGTCAAGAAAATTGGAAGACAACTATCTGGCTGACTGATTGGAAGAGATCCGTATTTGTCCCATTCCAAAAAGAGGTTATCCAATGGAATGCAGAAATCAACAGACATTATCTTTGATATCCCATGAGAGTAAAGTGTTGCTAAAGGTAATACAGAAATGGCTGCAAGTATACATTGACACAGAACTTCCAGAGGTTCAAGCTGGATTCAGAAGACGATGTGTAATGAGAGATATCACTGCTGATGTCCGATGGATCTGGGCTAAAAGAAGAGAATACCAGAAACATGTTTGTTTACCTGTGCTTTATTGACTATGCAAAGGCTTTTGATTGTGTGGATCATGACAAGCTATGGGCAACACTGTGAAGTATGATTATTCCAGAACAATTGTGCTCATGAGGAATCTGTGCATGGACCAAGAGGCAGTTGTTCAAACAGAACATGGAAACACTGAATGGTTTAAATTTAAGAAAGGATTGTATTTTTCACCATACTTATTCAACCTGTTTGAATGAGCAAATAATCCAAGAAGCTGGGTTCTATGAAGGAAAACACGGCATCAGGATTGGAGGAGGACTCACTAACAACCTGCGATGTGCAGCTGATACAACCTTGCTTGCTAAAAGTGAAGAGGACTTAAAATGCTTCCTGATGAAGATCAAAGACCACAGCTTTCAGTATGGATTACATCTCAATGTAAAGAAAACAAAAATCATCACCACTGGATCAATAAACAACATTTTTATCAACAGAGAAACGATTGAAGTTGTCAAAGACTTCATTCTTCTTGGATCAACTATCAACATTCATGGAATCAGCAGTCAAGAAATCAAACGACATATTGCAATAGGCAAATCTGCTGCACAAGGCCTTTTTAAAGTGTTGAAGAGCAAAGGTGTCATCTTGAGGACTAAGGTGTGCCTGACCCAAGCATGGTATTTTCAGTAACCTCATATGCATGTGAAAGCTGGACAGTAAATAAGGAAGACCGTAGAAGAATTGATGCTTTTGAATTATGGTGTTGGGGGAGAATATTTAAAGTGCCATGGGCTGCCAAAAGAACCAACAGATCTGTGTTGGAAGAAGTGTAACCATAGTGCTCCTTAGAGGCCAGGATGGCGAAACTTCGTCCCTCATACTTCAGACATAATGTCAGGAGGGACCAGTCACTGGAGAAGGATATCATGTTTAGTAAGGCAGAGGGTCAAAAAAAAAAAAAAGGAAGGCCACCAACGAGATGGATTGGCCAAGTAGCACCATCAATGGGGTCAAGCGTGGCAACAATTGTAAGGTTGGCCCAGGACCGAGCAGTGTTTCGTTATGTTGTACATAGGGTCTCTGTGAGCTAGTACTGACTCAATGTCACCTAACAACAATTTGCTAATAACAAAAGCTAACAACAACAACAATCAACATCAATATTCTGGTTGTGATATTGTACTATAGGTTTGTCAATATTACCAAAGGAGAAAACTGGATATCGTACATGGGGTCTCTCTGTAGTATTTAAAACTGCATATGAGTTCAATGCAATCCCCATCAAAATTCCAATGGCCCTCTTTGCAGAAATGGAAAAACCAATGCTTAAATTTATTTGGAGTGTAAATAACTAAAGCAATCTTGAAGACAAAGGAGAAGAAGAGAAAGAGAAAGAAATGAGGATGATTCACACTTATTGATTTGAAAACATAGAATAAAGTCAGAGTAACTTAAACAACTGGTGTTGTTGTTGCAAAGTGGTGTTGAGTTGACTCCAACTTATAGAGACCCCATATAGGAATTCTGAGACTGTAAATCTTTAAGGAAGCAGAAAACTTCATCTTTCTCCTGAGGAGCAGCTGGTAGAGTGGGTTTGAACTGATAATCTTGTAGTTAGCATTCCATTTCCTATCCTACAAAGTCACAGAGCTCCCCAGAGCAGCTGGTACTGGTATAATAATAGACATTGTAAACCAATAGAATTGAATTGAAAAATTGGGGGAACTATATATCTGATAAGAATCATATATATATATTTGTTGTTAAGTGCGGTTGGATTGGTTCTGACCCACAGCAACCCTGAATAGGGTTTCCGAGGAGGAGCGGGTGAGCTAGAACTGCCGATTTTGCGGATCAAACCAACTTTACAGTCCAGTGCATTAAACCACAGTGCCACACCAGGACTCCACATATACCTAAAAATTAAGAACAAAAAGGCAACTAACCCAATCACAGCTTGGGTAAAGGACTTGAATAGACATTTCACCAAAGAAAATATTCAAATGGCCAACAAGCACATGAACACATGAAAAAATACTCATTGTCATTATCCATCAAACCTGTTGCTGTGGAGTCAATTTTCACAGCTATATATTTCTTTTTTGGAGTGACTGGTGGGTTCAAACCGCCACTCTTTTGGTTAGCAGCAAAGCATTTAACTACTTCACCACCAGGGCTCCTTCATTAGCCATTAGGAAGATGTAATGAAATGTCACCTCACCTCTATTGGAATAGCAATGATCAAAAACAAAACAAAACAGAAAACAACAGGTGTTGGCAATGTTATGGAGAAACTGAAACTCTCATCCATTTCCTGTAGGAATGTAAACTAATATAGCTGCTATTTCTAAAAAATTTGACACAGAAATTCCAATCCTGAATATACTGTATATCCAGAAGACATGAAAGCCGTATGCAAACAAAAATCTGTAGACCAATGATCATTGTAGCTCTTTGCACACTAACCAATAGGTGGAAATAATTTCTATGTCCATCAACAGAAAAATGGATAAACAAGATAGGGTATATACATACAATGGAATACTATTCATCCATAAAGAGAAATTGTCAGTGACAAAAGAGCAACAACTGTACGATCTCACTTATATGAAATAAGCAAATATATAGACACCAAAGACTATTAGTGATTATCAAGATGGGAGGGAGGGGGAAAAGGAAAGATTTTGCAAAGAGGGCATTGGGTTAATGATTTTAATGATGGTGGAATAATTTGGAAAATGATAGGGGTATTAGCTGCACAACATGAAGAATCTCTGTCACTGAATTACATATATAAACACTGTTGAATTGACCAATGGTTTATTATATTTTAAACACCCCCCTATACAAAAAATGGAGTCCTGGTGTGGCGCTGTGGGTTAATGTGCCAGGCTGCAAATTCATTTGAACTGCAAGGTCAGTGGTTCAAGGTCACCAGCTCCTCTTTGGAAACCCTGTACAGGGTTACTATGGGTTGGAACCGACTCGATGGCACTTAGCAAGAATGACAAACATACACAAAATAATTGCATTTGAATTCATAATTATCTCAAAGTAAAATGATTGGCTAAAAAATGTTACCAGTCATAAAGAAAGCTACTGTTGGGTCTCTAGTTGTACACAACTGCTCAATGTGGTGCTGGTGGCAGCAATTTGAAGTCACTGTTACCATGGTCCCCAGCAGGAGAGCTGCCTCTCCAGCACATTGGCCTAAATGGGCCATCCCTCCCTGCCTTGAGGCCCTGCTGGCAGTAGGCACATTCTCTCTTCCTCTGTTCTCATTTCTAGACTTCCATGCCTCATGTGATTATGATGGAAAGTTAGGAGATCTCAGGGGACAGGGACACAGAAAACCTGAAGAGAGTGAGGGAGGTAGAATAATTGCTCATTTGCTGAATCTGAATAAAATTAAGTATTACTTTCTTACTGACCAAATCAAAGTTGTTGAACTTTGATTATTGAATGAAATCAAAGATAGTTCCTTTCCCTCCTAAAATCAAAGCACTGCCATGGAGTTGATTCCAAATTGTAAGGACCTTATAGGACAGAGTAGAAATGCCTCATAGGATTGCCAAGGCTGTAAGTCTTTACAGAAGTAGATTGCTTCATTTTTCTTCCATGGAGCAGCTGGTGGTTAAAACCACTGACTTTTGATTAGCAGCCAAGTGCTTAACCACCAATCTACCAGGGTTCCTTTCAAAACATAAACCTATACACTATCTAAGCCTATTGAAATAGGACATGCAAATGTAGTTGAGACTAGAGTCAACACCTCCTTTGCCTCACCTGCTATACAGTGAGTTTTCTCCCCACCCCCTTCCCCACCCCCACCATCCACCTTTTCTTCAAACAATCAAATAATGAAGCAAAATTCTCTGGCCAACACAGACTGCAGTACAGGCCAGGGGTCCTATGAGGTCCTATGCGGCAATCACCCTGGGGAGGGACCAGTGGAAGAGCATATAGCCCTGGTTTGCTAGACTGTGGGCCAAGGGTGCAGGGAGTGGAAGACTGCGCAGGGCAGTGCCATACCTGTGTCTGCAGCCTTTCAGGACCCTCTGGATAGTGACAGCTGCTGTAGCCAAGATCTGACTCCTCTGAGTCTCCAGCAGAGTGTCTTGGTGGTCCTGCAGGAAGGAGAACCATCAGGCAGTTTCCCAGCTCTCACTCCTATCTTTGCCTAGGGCCTGCTTAATCTTGGAAGACAGAGCCTCTCAAATTTCTTCTGTACATGCCCCCAGGAGGGTGAGCTGGAGGAAGAGCCCTCAATCTGACTCTGATATGACTCACAGAAGGGAACTGTCAGCTACACTCCCCACCTCTATCCAAGAACTTCCCATTTCAACTCTTTATTCTTGGTAATTAAATCTGGCAACTTTCTTTTCTGCTCTGAAGAATGAGGGCAGTGGGAACATGAAGTAGTGCCCTGTGGGCATAGAATTTCTCTGCAATTGTTTTCTTTTTCCCAAATCATATGAAATTTGCATTCTATTGTGTAACAATGGCATCATGGTGTGGTACTGTGGGTTAATGCCCTAGACTGCAAAGTCGGTTTGAACCACAAAGTCGGAGGTTCAAGCTCACCAATTGCTCCTAGGAAATATATACAGGGTCACTATGGGACAACAACAACAAATGTATACAGGGTCACAAACGTATGCAGGGTCACTATGGGACAACAACAACAAATGTAACAATAGACTCTCATTTCAATATAAGCAAACTATGCACAGGATTCAAGGTGTAAGAGGATAAGCCTTATTCATCCCTGGGCTGTCACTTTCTCAGCCAGCCTTGTGCACCCCCTGAGTCCCCAGACCTGAGATGAGAGGTACGGGCCTGCCATCTCAGTTTCAGAAGGCAATAATTGAGCATAGGCAGTTGTTGTTAAGTGCTGTCGGGTCAATTCCAACTCATAGTGACATTGTATAGAGGGTTTCTGAGGCTGAAAATCTTTTTCGGAGCAGAAAACCTCATCTTTTCCTCATAGAGCTGCTGGTGTACTCAAACCTCCAACCTTGCAGTTCAAAGCCCAGTGCTTATTGTTCAGAGTCATTGCACTCCTGGATAAGTTGCAGACTTTGTTCAATGTAGAGCAGCATGCTCTTTCCTGCCTCTATCAGTCTGCATTAAATTGGCATTGAGCTTCTTTCTTTGTGTGCCCTAGGAGGGCACTGGTTGGTTGGTTGGTCATGTGCGGTGGAGTCAGTTCCAATTTATAGAGACCCTGTATAGGGTTTCTAAGGCAGTAAATCTTTATGGGAGCAAAAACTCTCTTATTCCTTCCATGGAGTGACTGGTAGATTCCAATGCTGATCTTGTACTTAGAAGTCCACCTCATAATCCAGTATGCTCTCAGGATTCTCTAGGGAGGGCACTAGGATTGCAGGAATGGACCAGATGTTTGCTATAGCCTCAAAGAGCAGCCATGCTGGGAGTGGGGAGGAACAGAGAGGTGAGCACTCCCAAGCTGGGGGAGCAAAAATGCCCAGATGGCCTCCCTCCAAAGATTACCACTTCTCAGCATCCAGTATAAGCCTCTCTTTCCCTTCCTCTGACCACCTAACATTAAGGGGGAGTGGAGATAAGGTTGGGGGGAGGATGGTTGGAGCTGGCAGAGTATTTCTCCTCATTTGCTTGCTCTACCAAAGGCATAGGGGACATAGAGTTTCTCTCCCAAGCTCTTTGACCACTCACTGGTATGTCTGGAGGCACTGGGACCACTCTCAGGGTTCTGAGCTGTTGCCTGTGAGGCTGCCTCTGCTGCAGCCTTGGCCCTCCCTCTAAGTTGTTGGTTTGTTGGGGCTGGGTGGATGATGTATGTACAAGACTTCTGTAGGACTGCCCCCACATGGCTGGTTTTAGAGGCCGGTGGGTAGGAAAAGCAAGGGTAACCTTTGCATTCATTTTCTCTCATCCTCAGTCTTGTTGTTTTCTTTTTCTTTTAAAGTTTTTATTGTGAATTATGTGATAGTTTACATGGGAGAACATTAGCTTTACATTCATTCTATCATATATCATTTCAATGCCATGATTACAACCCCCTCCATGTATCATCAAGCAACCAAAGGATATACCCCACAAGCCTGCCCCTCGGTCATCAGCACATAGTCCCTCTCCCTCTATGGGTCTAGAGTCCCCAGCCTCTCCATCTTTCCACGCCATCATCTCTGCCTCCATCTCTGGTGTTACTGTTTCTCTGGGTAGGGTCTGGCACTCTGCTCTTTTCCCCTGATGGTTCCAGGGACCTCTGCTCCTGGAATGCAAAGTCAACCATGCCCCTCCTTTTGCTACAAAACATCTACCTTTACATTCCCAACCCTCACAGTCAATCCTGATAGCAATTATTCACTATTGTACCACAAGAGTCTTATTCCCATCTCCTTTCATCAGCCCCACCCAGACAGATTGGATATTACTCAGTGGACATTCTACATTCCTCAGCACCCTCTGGATCTAGGTTCTCTCTTGAAAGCTTGTAAGTCAGTCACTTCCTGCCTTTGTAGCCCCCCACTTTTGGTAGCCAATGTCCAAATTGCCCATCCCTGTCAACCCTAAGTTCCGAGGGGGTGGGAATGAGCCTTCCTGTAAAGATTTGTTCCCTTTTTTGAGCTACTGCATCCATAGGTATAGGTCAAGTTCATCAAATTGTATCAGATTATTCTTTTTTCCCTCTTCTTTCTTCTTCTAGTTGAATTCTGATCATCCAGCCATTGAAGCCAGGTCAAGTGGGTATTATCTGCAAGTGTGGGTGTTCTTGTGCATATGCCCTCACTTCTTATCAGCTGGATGCTTCACTCTCCACTCTAGTCTTCTGTGGCTATGTCATTGTCTCTGGGCCCAGGTTTCGACCTGGTTTCACAGGAGTCTATTGAACATGGTTGAACTTAGCTCACAACTTCATTGCTGTTTTTTCCCCACTTCCCTGTATCAGTGACCAAGGTGGTCACCAGTCAGAGTGCATGTCTGCTCGTGTATTCCCCTTGAGTCTTAGTCTTGGAAAGGGGTTTGCTCTGAGGGAACCTGACCACTTGCCTTAATGGCTCCTGGGTGAAAAACTTGCTTGTTCTTGTAGTAGTCAGTTGTACTGTTACTGTTTTTTATCTTTTCTGTTGTTCTTTCTTTCAGGAAGTATCTTCTGCTCTTCTAGCCACTCCAGGCTGGTCTGCTTGTCCTTTCAAGTGGAGATTTCCCATCTCAGAAGATTCTGGTTGGAGTTCAGGATTCCACCTATGGTCTTGTGCAGTGCAAAGGCTCCATGGGAAGCCTCCTTCACTGGGAAAGTTGTAGCCCCATTTTAGGTATTTCAATCAGTTATAGTCTGAAGACAGACTTACAAGCTTTCTACGGTGATGTTTCTGGCTATTCCTTTCTCTCCTCCTCAAGTGATATTTTACAATGCTATGTAAGGGAGCTCTGGTAGCGTAGTGGTTACGAATCGGGCTGCGAACCTTAAGGTCAGCGGTTCGAAACTACCAGCTGCTCCGCGGGAGAAAGATGAGGCTTTCTACTCCCGTAAAGATTTACACCCTCGGAAACCCTGTACAGGGTCGCTATGGGTCGGAACCGACTCGATGGCACATAACAACAACAACAATGTAAGGGAAACCAGGATTCAAAATACAGCCAAGCATCTTAACATTATCTCCCCACTTTTACCCATTCAAGCCATGCCTCAATCCCTGTATCCCAGAGCCCTGTTGTTCCAAGGTTGTGCATACATTATATACCTCTGTCCCACTTAGCCCATGCAAACCTGCCTAACTGTTCTTCTATCTGCCTTGATCTTCCATTCCCCTCCCCCTTCTTGCATATTGCCCCCCTCCCCAGCACCAAAGCTATCCTGTGCTCCACCTTCCCCTCCCTCCCCTCACCCCACCCCCCACTTCCCAGTATCTTTGTACTATTCTGAGATGTGAGAAGATCTCTCAAACTTTCTCAGGCTCTCCTACACCCCTCCAGAGGTGGCTTTTGTACACCTCACTCCTCCAGAGATTTTTTTTTTTTTTGCAGCTGTGGTGCCTCATGACTCTGACTCAGACCAAGTGAGCAAGGATTGACTGCTAAGGCCTGGGCCAAACTTGGGGTTGGCTTGTTCCTTGGGGTCTCACCTTCAGGAAAATTTTGGTTTTCCCCATTTTCCAGTCTTTGTCTGTCCCCAGCCACATGTCAGCAATACGCAGGGTCATCTTCTGGAACTTGCCTTGAAGCTGCCAATGAAAAAGTGAGTTAATGTGACTGGAGCAGAGACTCTGGTTGCAGCTGAGGGGACTCCTTTGCCTGCTCTGGGAACAGTGTCCTCAAGGGTCTCAGATGGACTCTTATATTACTCCTCCCACAAACTTCCCTAGCAGTGGTTGCTTAGTTAGGGTACAAGCACAAGTAGGCAAGGTTAAGATGGGCACATGGATAGGATAGGCACTGAGGCCTCAGTGCTTTCCAGGCCTGGGCTCTTAATTAGGATGTTGGACAGATCAAGTTTTCAGATGACTGAATGTTTAAGGAAGAACTCTAATAGTTCCCCAGTCACACATCAGCTCTTGACAGGTTACCATTACAGTGTTTTAAAATAAAAACCTCCTAGAAAGAACATACTCAGTGGTCCAGACTTTATGGCTAGCCTTTTTCCCACTATACTAGCAATAAAGTATTAAGAGATGAGGATGTAAGATTCTCTGGGGGGTGACGCAGCGCTTCCCTGACCAGGCAACTCAGGTAAGGAAGTCTCTGGGGAAAAGGGGCAGAATCGCACATAGGAAACCTCTGTCTAGCAGACAGACAGCCTTTGAACAAACACAAGATCTTATATTTCAACATTCTGAACTCGTTTTTTAAAATCAAATTGCTGATGAATTACAGGCATTTTAAGCTTTTGCCTGCCTGCACGCGGCTCCTGCTTCCGTGCCCGCGCCGGCAAGTGCCTCTGCCCCCTGCAGACCTTGGAATGCAGGGCGAGAGCAACCAAACTTAGAAGGCTGCATTTCCAGAGAAAAGGAAGCATAAACTAACAAAGCCAAACAAATAGAGAGGGATATTGGTGCGGATATCAGGAAATTCGGGGTACCCACGGTGCAGAGAGACTGAGAGAGGCATTCGTTACGTCATCAAATACGGACACTGCCTCCCTCCAGCCATTAACCCAGCCCTCTACAGCCCCAGCCTAGACCAGCCCTCTGCCAAGCCACTGAGGCAACGGAACGCCCAAGGCACAAGCCCTCCCGCCCACTGAGGCCAAGGCCCTCCCAAGGCCCAGACACTCCCACTGAGGCCAAGGCCTGCCCTGAGGCCCAACCTGCCCACAGACTGGTCACAAAAGCCCAGGCCCAACCAAGGCCCAAATCGGATACCTGCCGCCACTGAGGTCCAGGGACCCCAAGGCCCAAGCCGCTGCACAGCCA